GCTCCTCAGAAACTCTATACAGGTTCGCTATGGGTCAGAATCAACTCGACAGCATTTTACAACAACAACAACAACACACACACACACATATATATGATTTATAGAGATTAATGTTAGGAAAACTTCAGAGTAACATGATTTAAAGTATCTTTATAAATAATGCACATCATTTTGAATACTCTGTTCAGTGAAACAAAAATTGTCATTTGAGTCACATGGAGTTGCAATAGCATTTGATTTTGAGAGTCAGAATCTAGAAAGGGTTAGCCTGAATCGGACTAAGACAGACTAGAGAGAAAGGAATTGCGATCTACTTCCAAAAACCACAGCAGTCTGAGTTGCAATCCATCATATGAATAATGCAGAACGAGGCAACATTGTCGTTATGCATGGGGTCCCCATGAGTCAGGGTCAACTCTACTGTAGGTAACAACAACATCGGTAAGGTTGCGTGGTCCTGAGACCATACAGGGAAGTGACTGATGAGAAAAGAACCAGTCGTCTCTTAGTCTCAGCCTAGTAGTTTGAGAAAATTAGATTTCCAGTCTCAGTCTGACTCCCTCACCCCAATTTATTGCTCTCAGAAGACTGAAGCCGTCTCTGTAGTCTCCTCATGGCTGACTTCATCTCTTGGTTTCTCAGTGTGTAGATCATGGGGTTCAGCATGGGGGTGATGACTGTATTATTGATGGATATTGCTGTGTCCATGGGCAGCTTAACGAAGGGCCGACAGTAGATGTAAATGCCTGGCACGAAGTGGAGACTCACCACCAGGATGTGAGAGGTGCAGGTGGACAGGGCCTTGTTCCGCCCCTCCCCAGGTTGGGATCGCAGCATCACCAGAATAGCAGTGTAGGAGCCCAGGAGGAGGAAGAACCACACCAGAGTCACTAGCCCATTGTTAGAGATCATGAGAATCTCCAGAACAAAGGTGTCCGTGCAGGCCAGTTTTAGCACCTGGGGCACATCACAGTAGAAGGCATCCAGAATGTTGGGACCACAGAAGGGGAGTGGAAGCAACAAAATTATCTGAGCAATTGAATGCAGACCACCACCCACCCAGGAAGCCACCACCAAGGTCACCCATACCTCTCTCCTCATAATGGTCACATAGTGGAGGGGTTTGGCAATTGCAAGGTATCTGTCATAGGCCATTACAGAGAGGGAAAAAATATCCGCTCCACCGGCAAAATGAAAGAAAAAGATCTGTGTCATGCAGCTATTGTAGGAGATGGTCTTTCTTTTGGATAAAAGGTCCACCAGGAACTTGGGGACAGTGATGGATGAAAAAAAAATGTCCAGGAGTGATTTGTTGCGTAAGAGAAAGTACATGGGAGTGTGGAGGCGGGACTCACAGGTGATGGTGACCACGATGAGGACATTGCCCAATATCGTTGTTACATACACAATAAGGAAGACCACAAACAAAAAACACTCCAGCTCCCGAAATCCAGTGAGTTCCAGGAAGACAAACTCCTTCACATTGGTGTGGTTGCCCTGGTCCATGGTGGGGAAGACCCTCTTCCAGGTGTGCCTTGGAAGAAGAGAGGTAAGGGTTAAGAGTATGATGTCATGAAGTAGGGACATCATTTACTATATATTATTATAAGGCTCCCTAGATTATTATGACAGTTCAGAAAATCTGGGCTAGAGATTCCTGTTTTGTGTACTGGCATTTCTTCACTTTGACCATTCTTCATTCCTTCTGGAAATACTCTGAGTTGATAGAATGA